CTGGGCCAATGTCATGTGACAGTGTTAGTTGGCTTTTACTCTTGCTGGGTGCTGAGGTTACCAGATGGATAGAATGGATGGGATTCCCCAGAGGACCTTGCAAGCTTGCGGGGGAGGCAGGGGTGTTCACGCACAAAGATCAGTGTTGGCAGTTGGGCGTGGGAGGCTTGGGTCACGCTGCACCGCACCAGTGGTGTGACCCTGGACGAGTCATTTTACCTGTCTGAGCCTCACCTGCAGAATGGACAGAGTAACCATACCCACTCATGGAATTGTAAGGATGAAAGGAGAAAACACACGGAGGGTACCCAGCTTATGGAAAGTGCTCACTAGATACTGGCTGTTGTGTCATGATGTTGTTATTGTGGATTATTGTGTGTTATTGAAGGATAGAAGGAGCAGCCAGAGAAGCTTCACAACCAAGGGGGCATTCAAGCAGGGTTCTGCAGGATGAATAGGAGTCCACAAGTAGGCTTGGCATTTAAAGCAAAGGAGAACAGCGTGCTGGGCACTAGGTAGGGTCACAGGGAACTCGGAATGAATGACGTTTATCCAGGAGACAAGATGTAGATGGGAAAGGGCGAGGACAGCACACTGGGGGCCAAGTTCAGCATGTGATGCGTGAGTGTCAACCTGTAACCGTGAGCTTCCTCGCTCATCCTCACGATGGGGAGAGAGAGCCAAACAGACAGCCACCTCGTGCTGGGTGGGAGCCCCGAAGGGGCAGAGCCAGGGACCTGGGGAGCAGGCAGGGCTTGGACCCGCGGACCTCCGACCTCTGGCCTCATGGCCTCCTCAGCTGTGAGAAGTGGGTAACGGTGGCCTTCAACTCTGGGGCTTCTCGGGCTCAGGCTGGTTGGAGCTGCGGTGAGGGCAGCTTTGAGGGAGAGAAGGGCAGGGACCCTGGGCCAGACAGGGCGGCCGTGGCCTGAGAGGGGCCGGATGTCTTGGTCCCCTTCCCTCCATGCAGCCTGAAGGACAAGAGCTAACCGTTGGCCCCAGAGAGGCTGGGAGGCCGCCAGTGTGGAGTCACCCTGAACCCGCATTTTATCAACCAGGCCTAAGAGTGAATCCCGGGCCCGCTGGCCCTCACCAGCTGCTCCCTGTCCTGGGAGTTTATTCAGAGGAGGCCGGCTGGGGTTCCACGGGCTCGTCAATCTGCCCCCTCCTCTCCTGTTCACCCCACGCCCCTCTCAGACCCCTGCCTCCTGCCTGCCTGTCCTCTCCTCCATTCTGACGCCGGGTGGGACTCTTGTCCTGCCAGCTGTCCGGAGTCACCCCCAGCTGACTCCGGGCAGGGACCGTGTGGGCAGACCGGCTGGGCTAAATCTGCCAGTTTCCTGGTCAGCAACTCTGGGTCCCCAGAGGGGTCCAGGCAGGGCACTGGAGAAGGAGAAGCCAGCAAGGCACAGGTGAAGCCCTCCCATCCCCAGAGGACCCGCCCGTGGCCACCAGTGAGGCACCCATGCATGGCCCTGAGCCTCTTTTTCCATCTGAGAGTAACCCCTTGCCCCCTTCAAGGGTCTCAACCTCAGATTTGACTCTTCACATCACAGCACAGCCCCAGGGTGGTTTTGAGGCACTGGGGAAATCTGGGTCTCACTGAATCTTGGTCCAAGCAGACTCTGTGTTGAGGGTTCTAGGACCTTCGTGGCTCCATCAAGGAGGATGGGGTGGGTGGTCTCAGCCTTCATACCTCCTCCCTGCCCATCCCACCTGTGGCAGGTGAACTGTCATTCATTCACCCAGCAAACAGCATGTGCCGTGCTGGGCCCTAGAATGTGAAAATGAACAAGCCAGGATTGAGGGCCCTCAGGGGGCTCCCAGCCCAGTGGGGTTGGGGGGGGGGGGCGGGGGGGGCAGCAAGCAGCCCTGTCATTGTGCCCAGGGAGAGCTGGAGGCTCTGAGCACAGAGCATGAGGAAGCCAGCCCACCAGGGCATCCTCAACAGACCCCGAAAAGGAAATGGCCCCGCCTGGATGTATCCCCTGCCCACGGGAAATGAGTGGACACAGCGTTCCCTTTGTCCCCTTTCCCCCAGTCCCTGTTTCCCTCTTCAGGGCTTTCTTCCAGCCACATGGACGGTCCTGGCCTCCCTGGTTTCCTGATGGCTGGTTTCCTGGGCAGACCGGAGGCGGGGTTAGACCCAACCCTCCTTGCCCTACCTGAGAACTGGGGGAGGGGGTGGTCAGGAAGAATTAGTTAATCTGGCCAGGAGTCCCTGGTGCCCCTTCTGCCGGAACCCCATGCACACCTGTGTGTGCTGAGAAGCAACCCAAGGTTCCCAGAATACAAGCCTCCTGTGTGTACTACTGCCCCAGACCCTCTGAGGGGCTCGCTTGTGCTCCTAGGACCCCTGCACCTGCCAACACCCACCCCAGCTTTACACTTCCCTTCTCTTTCCACTTGTCTAGAAATTCTCAGAGTCCTCAGAGGCACTGCCTTCTGCCAGACCCTAGGGAACGGTGCAAACCCCGTGGCCCTGTTCCCCATAGGAGCTGGAGGTGGGATAGGGTTGAGCAGGGACTAGGGGAGGAGAAAAGAGGCCAAAGATCCCCTTCACCTCAGGCTGACATAGTCAGAATTAGATGGAGGGTGGTTGGATGGTGGGAGAGGGTGAGTAGAAGGAAGAAAAGAGAGGTGGATGGATGGATGGATGGATGGAAGGGAAGGAGGGAAGAAGAATGGATTGGGTGGGTAGATGGATGGATGGATGGATGGATGGATGGACAGATAGGCAGATGGGGTAACAAGGGAGGATGGAAAGAAACTTGGGTGACAAGGACTATAAGGCAAGGGTGAGGTTTGGTGGAGTGGAGGATGCTTACACCCAATTGCCTTCCCACAAGAGATGGTTTTTTTCTTCTTCCTGAAGCGAATCTCCCTGCCTCCCCTGAAGGAACACACTCCAAGTCTGTTTTTAGTTCAATAGACAAGAAAGTGTCCCTTGGAGACTGTCTAATTGCAGTCCGTTTGCCCTTAAAGGACTTTTGTGGTCATGGAGAGCCACTGATGGAATCCTTCCTTGTAAAACACTTCCTGTATTTTAAGACTTAATTATAAGAAATAAAGCGGTTGGACTAGGTGGGGTCTTCAAACTGGCCTTCCCAGGGATGTTTCAGGGGTTGAAAAAACAGTCTTATTTTCTTTTTAAAAATATTTCAGGGGCGCCTGGGTGGCTCAGTTGGTTAGGCGTCTGACTCTTGAGTTTGGCTCAGGTCATGACCTCATAGTTTGTGAGATCGAGCCCCATGTTGGGCTCTACGCTGATAGCACAGAGCCTGCTTGGGATTCTCTCTCTCTCTCTGCCCCTCCCCACTCTCTCTCTCTCTTTCTCTCTCTCTCAAAATAAATAAACATTTTTTGTAAATTTTCAAAAGTATCTAAAGCACTAGTAGAAAAAGCAGGTCCGTCGGAGACCACCAGCTCTTTTTGTTTCCTTTCCTAATAAGATGAAGCCCATTGCTTTATTCAGGTGATTTGTACATTCCAGAAAGTTTGGGGGTGGGGGAGCACACCAGGTCTTTTGTGTATCCCTCCAGCTACTCCCTTTGGGACCCTTTCTGCTTAAGTGAAAGTGCTGAGATTTTAAGGTCTACAGTTGATAAAACCGTTCCCACCACCAACTAGTCTGTGTGACTTTTCTCTCTACTGTGTCACAGAGCGGACTGGAGAAATCCATCGGGTTCTGGGCTGGTGTGATTGGAGCCACCTCTGTAGCCTTCACTTGAAAACGCTTGCTTACCCAACACGGCCTTCCTGTTCTCGTTAGTTTCTTCTAGAGGGAAAAATCTGTGGCTGGACCTGGAATGTCTTCCTTGTGAAGAAACCTAGTTTCACAGACTGGGTACCATGTTGGGTTTCATTTTTCAAGGAGGAGTTTCATTGACAATTTTAGAAGGAAGAAATGAAAATAGAAACCCATTAGACTAATCCCTGGGAAAACCCCATCTCTTCCTTTTTCCGATGCCTTCCAGCCCCTGCCTCTATTGCCCTGTGCTGCCAGAGCTGAATTTTATTAAGGTTCTTAGTTCCCTTTTACCGACGGGGGCCTCTCTGGACCCAGGGACACATCATGTCATGGGGAGGTGGGTTGTTCTCGCTGGGGTCAAGGTTGAGAGTGAACCAGCCTTCTCTTCTGAGCCTTTTATGGCCAGCCATTCATAAGTTTGTCCAACACTGTTAGGAGTCCATTCATTGGCCCCACCAGGGTCTCCTCCTAGTGCAATGGGTCCCACATTTATTGCCTGTGGGGACGGCAGCATTTCTTAGTGGGAGCCTGGGTGCCTCTCTTCGTGCCCTCCTTCCCAGTGGGACCACAGCTAGGTGGGGAGTCCGCTTCACCTCTGTGGGCCTCATGGCCAAGACCTTCCAGTCCATTCTGGAGGCTGGTGCTCATAAACCTGGCTCTAGACCTACTGGGTGGGAAGGCCAGCTTGTTCCTGAGAACATTCTGGAACACCATACAGGAGTGCTGTCACTCCAAACTGTGTAGGATAACTAGAATCTGTTGGTGGGAGGCGTCCTGTGGAAAGGAATGTGTAAGAAAGACGTGTGTGGGAGCCCGGGTGACTCAGTTGGTTCAGTGTCTTCGGTTCAGGTCATGATCTCGCAGTCTGTGAGTTCTGGCCCCGTGTCGGGCTCTGTGCTGACAGCTCAGAGCCTGGAGCCTGCTTCACATTCTGTGTCTCCCTCTCTCGCTGCCCCTCCCCCACTCATGTTCTGTCTCTGTCTCTCTCTCAAAAATAAATAAACATTAAGAGAGACTTGTAAATAATGTATCCATCGACTGGTCGTAAATGGGCTCAGTAACTGTCCGTTCGGTTCAGAAAGTCGTATTGTTAATGTGCTTGGCGTGCTGTCGTTGGATGCAATCGGGGAGGCTAGGTACTTGACTTGCCAGTTACTCGGGCAAACTGCTGAATTTCCATTGCCCACCATTGAATTACGATGGGTCATTTAATCACCACCTATTTGGTGTTGCCATCCTCTCCTTCCAGATCGTTCTCTGGGGCCGGACTGAGAAATGCCTCAAAGAGACGACAGAGGAGATTCGGCAGATGGGCACCGAGTGCCACTACTTCATCTGTGATGTAGGCAACCGGGAGGAGGTATACCAGACGGCCAAAGCTGTCCGGGAGAAGGTAAGTGCCCAGGAGGGTCTGTCCCGAGTTCGGCTGGACACAAGACACAATAGCCAAAGAGAACATTCTCTCACCTGCCTGGCCTGGGAGAGAGCGTTGCGAATGGCAAAATGGCTGTTTTCGGGGCATGTCTGGGGACTGTCCCGGAAGCTGGCCCAAGCTGTGTGTGCATGTCCGTGTGCGTGAGTGTATACGTGCATGCGTGTGCGTGTGTGCGCGTGTGTTCTTTGGGGCAGGGATTAGGTGTGTGGCTTGATTACATAACAGAAGTAATCACCTGTTGTCCCCTTTGGAAGAAACCTTGTGAGTTTCTGGGGGGCAAAAGTCCCATCGCCCTCTGGGAGGATCCTTCTCCTGACTCCAGCCATCTGTTCACGGTGAATGTATCAGTGAGCTCCACAAGAGCGAAACCCATCCTGTTTGCTATCTAGCCCGTGGTGAATGTTAAGTGCTTCTGTGTAGCAATAACCTCATTTATCGTAAACATGCTGTGTGCCACGAAGTATTTCTGACCCTCAGATCAACCCCGGTATGGCCATCAGCTCCATCTCACAAATCCAGACTGAGGCTCAGAGAGATGATGTGGCTGTCCAGGGGCACACAGCCGGTGTTGAGGGGGCAGGCCCCGCCCCTGTGGGTGCAGGCCACCGGGACCGGCTGCCCTAACAGCCCCGCGGCCCCCTTGCCCACAGGTGGGCGACATCACCATCCTGGTGAACAATGCGGCCGTGGTCCACGGGAAGAGCCTGATGGACAGTGACGATGACGCCCTTCTCAAGTCCCAGCACATCAACACCCTGGGCCAGTTCTGGGTAAGGGCCGTCCTGGGCCACAGCCGGCCCTGGGCGTGACAGTGACGTGTTCCTGCCCTCCAGGCTGCTGTAGGGGGGTGGGGAGAGGCTCACCGGGGCTTGGGCTCAGGCCAGGGGGATGTCCAGAGGCAAGGTGGCCAGATAAGAGCAATGACCGCCCAGCCCCTGGAGACATCTGGACGTACAGAAATGCGGAGCTCGGTGCCCTGCGGTGGGCGGGCCTCGGCCCCCTCCCCTCCCCTCCCAGGAGAGCTCAGTCATGGAGTGGTGCCCGTGCCCGGGGTGGTCGTGCTCCCCAGAAGAGGTTTCAGAGGGGCCGCTGGAGCCCGCGGCAGCTCCACGCTGACCTCCCACCCACCCTCAGACCACCAAGGCCTTCCTGCCGCGCATGCTGGAGCTGCAGAACGGCCACATCGTGTGTCTCAACTCCGTGCTGGCGCTGTCTGCCATCCCTGGTGCCATCGACTACTGCACGTCCAAAGCCTCGGCCTTCGCCTTCATGGAGAGCCTGACCCTGGGGCTGCTGGACTGTCCAGGAGTCAGTGCCACCACCGTGCTGCCCTTCCACACCAGCACCGAGATGTTCCAGGGTATGAGGGTCAGGTCAGTGAGCGGGGGACTCCCCTCCCTTAAGCCAAGTCCCCCAGCGGATCGGACCAGGGACGTGCTTAGTATGCACAGAGAGAGCTAAAATTTAAAAATATCGCGGAAGCCCCTTCTGTTTGGCTTTGTGGTCTCATACCCGATTCTCTATGTGCGAGGCCGTGGGACACTGTAGTGGCTTAGGGTCTTGCTTCTCAGGTCACGGAGCTCTTACAAAGTATCAGTGCACATGCTCGCAGTGGAACACTCCCCAAGAGAACAGAGTTAACACATGAGCAGCATGGATCAATCTCAAAAGTATTACGTTGAGCAAAAGAAGCCAGACGCTTTCAAAGAGTGCCTTCTGCATGAAACTCTAGCACAGGCAAAACCAGGCCAAGGTGATAGACATTAGAATAGTGGCCATCTCTGGAGGGGCGGGGACATAGCCTGGGAGGAAGCACAAAGGAACTTTCTAGAATATTTTAAAATGCTCTCTCTTCCCAATCCAAGTGGCAGTTACACAGGTAAAAATTAATCATGCCATACACTTAAGATTTATTCAACTTTTTATGCAAATTATATGCATAATTATATGTATGCAAATGATAGCTCAATTTAAAGAAAGACTGAAGCCCAACCCCCTGTCCTCCAGGCCAATGGGACTCCAGGGGAATGGGAACTATTGGTTGAGAGCTCATGCTTTGGAGCCAGCCACCTGTGGTGCTGACTCACTTATACCTGTATTGTACCATCTGACCCTGGGTCCAATTAGTTCCCACTGTAGCCTTCATTGCTCATCGGTAAAACAGGAAGGTGAGTGGGGTGGCTGGGTGGCTCAGTCAGTTGAGTGCCCGACTTTGGCTCAGGTCGTGATCTCACAGCTCACGAATTCGAGCCCCACATCGGGCTTGCTGCTGTCAGCACAGAGCCCCATCGAGCCCACTTTGGATCCTCTGTCCCCCTGTCTCTCTGTCCCTTCCCTGCTCGTGCTCTCTCTCTCAAAAATAAGTAAACGTGAAAATAAAATAAAACGGGACGATGAGGATGTCCACGTCTAGGGTTCTATGATAAGGATAAAATGGGATCTGGCAAGGAACACTGCATGTGTCTATAGTAAGTCCCCAATAATGGTGCTCTAATGATGTACAGTCATGAAGGGGCACAAAGTTAGAGACAGGTGACGATGGGGAATTATCCAACAGCTACTTTCCTTGCTTTTGCAATGCAGCATATAATAACAGATTTACCTTCTAAATTATACACAACAGGTTCTTCCACACACGAAGATGGCATGGAGGTTCACCGTGAGAATTTGATGAGACAGCTGGTGGAAAGCATTTAGCACAGCACGAGCCATGTGGGAATCACTCGGCCCCCCTTGGTTGTTATTACTGAGACTGGTTTGGTCATCCCTCCTTCTCTACACTTGTGAAATCTTGAGCCAGTCTTGCTACCTCTGTAGGCTTTACTTTGCTCATCTGTAAAACAGTGGAAATAATATTTCCCTCGGGGATCTTTGGGAGGATTACAAATAATACATGTGAGGCATCTGGTGCAAAGCCCGGCATGCTAGATGTTCAGTAATGAACGGCTGCTCTTTTTGTCCTTAACTCACAGTGAACATCTCCATGAACGCAGATGTGATTAATCTTCCTATCAGATCATACCTTTCGTGTGCCACGGAAATCCACATTTCCACCTGACTCACATGCAGATGATCACGGATTCTGTATTTAGAGGAGGTGGGATTAATGACCGTTGATGTTCCCAATTGGCTTGCCGGCCCCCCCATACCACTTTGGGCCGGTTTCTTTTCTTCTGGGTATACAGGAGGTGCTCAGTAAATGCCTATTGGACGGAAGAGCAGCAGGGGCAATCCTGGGTTTCAGGTGGGCTCCAGGGCACAGAAGTAGGCAGGACATCAGCAGACCTCTCGCGTGGTGTTCCTGTCTCATCTTCTGGCCGTTTCCTCTCTATCACTTCAAGGAAAGGCGACATTTTTCTACAGTGGTTCAGAGGTTGGGCCCAAACAGCCAAGGACCAAATCACAGCTGTGTGTGACCTTGGACAGGTGACTCAGTTTTTCTATGCCTTGGTTTCATCTTTAAGAAGGGATTGAAAGTGTACCCTTCTTCACGGCTTAGCTGAGCTCCTAGATGTGACTCACCTAGCCTGCCTGGCACGTAGTAAGCACTAGGGGAATGTTAGTTACCTGTGGTTGTGCAGGTGAGCCCCGAGGTTTGGGGGAAGGGTCATAAAAGGATGACTGATGTGTAAACAACTTCCATTCCCTAAAAGAAAAGAAAGAAAGAAAGAAAGAAAGAAAGAAAGAAAGAAAGAAAGAAGAGAAGCATTGGTTTCCTGTCCAACCATGATTAACAGCTTCCCAGCGTTAAAGGGAGGTAGAGACAGATGTTTAGGACAAAACTGATGGGTTTTCTGGCAAGAACGGCCATGTAGGTGCTGTTGTTTGCAAGTTGCTATTTATTGATCTTGTTCCATGTCCCAGCCGCAACAGCCACTTCACAAACGCTGCTACACGTGGCCCTCAGCAACCCCGTGAGGGAGCTCTTGTCTGCACTTCACAGACGTGGGAACTGAGGCTCAGAGGAGCGAAGCTACTTGCCCAGGGCCACACAGATGGACATGGGCCGAACTCGCTTATTCTGCAAGTCTGCACGGCCTCCGTGGGAGTCATAGCTCCCTATATACCCATCTCACCCACCAGGAGGGAAAGGAGAAAGTCCCTCCAGCAGACGCACCGGCCTCCTCTGTCAGGCTCCCCTGCAGGGGTCTTGCTAGGAAGGGCCCCCCTGTCCCCACAGAGCTTGGCCCTATCCATCCTGTCTTCCCTTCCCCTGCATAGCAAGTAGGCCGGGCCCTGGTCATGGCTGGAAAACCAGACTGTCCGCCATGTCTATAGGGCTCGTCAACACATTCATCTCTGCAGGCTCCCGGTGGCCGTCCTTCCAGACTGCAGGGCTGTGAGCACCTTAGCTGCACGTTAAGATAGCAGAGGAAGCTCGTGGCCAGGAGGGTGTGGGGGGAGATCCACGGGTTCTCTGAGACCAACCGGGCCCGTGCTGGGGTCCCAAGAGTTGCCTTTGCCCAAGGTGACATCAGCTCCAAGAGATTCATCACCCTAAGTGCTCCTGGTACCTGAGCACAAGCCCTTCATGGGATCAAGGTCAGCCCTGCGCCTACAGGCCCACCAAGGATGGGAGGACAAGCTGCAAGTGAGGAGGGGGACAGAGATTTGGCCCGGGGCTCATGCTGGCCTGGCTTGAGCCCTTAGGGCCCTACCATCTCCCCAGAGCCTCAGCTCCCTTCTCTATGAATTGGAGCAAATGGTGCTTGTTGGATTTAGCTCAGACCTGACAGGGAGCATCGTCACTGTGCGGGGCTCAGGTTAGAGGCCTCTGAACAGGCACGAGAAAGCTCCCTGGTGCCCGCTTATTCAATCATTCATTCATTTACCAACCCCGTGGAAGGCACTCTGTAAACGTTTGACCAGCTCAGTGAATCAATGAATCAAGGAGGGGACCGGCAAGCAGGGCAGAGAAGGGCATTCCCAGCAGACCCCCACCTCCAGATGGGCCGAGCAGGGCACATTCGGGGAGCAGCAAGTTGTTCCGGGTTCATCGGTTCAGCGAAGCGTTTATTGAACACCCACTATATGCCAGGCAGTGCACACCGGGGGCTAAAACAGGGAGCAAGACCGACCAGACCTCTGCCCTTGTGGCACTCACGGTCTGACAGGGGAAACAGGCCACGGACAAGCAAACAAGCAGACAGGCAAGGCCACGTGGTAAATGCGGTCAAGGAAATTAGCAGGGGGAGGAGATCAGAGGCCACCCAGAGAGGATGGGCCGAGAACCCTCCCTGGTGGGACAGCTGGCGAAAGGCCCTGAGATGGCAGGGAGCTGAAGCGACAGAAACAGAAAGGTTGGCCTGGATTTCAGGAGCAGAGTGACAAGGGAGAGAGGTCAGGCAATGGGCAGGGCCCAGGACAGTGCTGGAAGAGGGTCTGAGCCAGGCAGCAGCAGGATCTGAGTGACATGTTAGTACTTTTTTTAATGTTTATTTATCTTGCGAGAGAGAGAGCGCGCGCGCAGGGGAGGGGCAGAGAGAAGGAGAGAATCCCAAGCAGGCTCCACACTGTCACTGCAGATCCCAACATGGGGCTCGAGCTCATGACCGTGAGATCATGACCTGAACCAAAATCAAGAGTGGGATGCCTGACCGACTGAGCCACCCGGGCGCCCCTGGGTGACATTTGAAAAGACATTTCAAAGGAAGCATTTTGAAGAATGGTTCCCAGGGGGTGGGCTACAAGACCTCCATTCTCCAGGCGAGACCCACTGGGAAGAAGGGGAAGGAGGAACTCCCGACATTTCTGGGGAAGCAGGCAGGGGCGGGGAGAATATTCCAAAGGGGACTCGAGTCTCCCAAACAGGAAAAGCCAGAGGGACGGCCCGCGGATGTTAGCCACAGAGATGGTCAGCAGAAGTGCGTGCTTCTCTGGGAGAAACCCATATTGTCTCTTCCTGTACCAGGTTCCCCAACCTCTTCCCTCCGCTGAAGCCGGAGACTGTGGCCCGGAGGACGGTGGAAGCCGTGCAGCTGAATCAGGCCCTCCTCCTTCTCCCGTGGACGATGCATGCCCTCATTATCTTGAAAAGGTACGGGCTGGGGGAGAAAGTTCTGGGTCACGTTCACGCTGGCTGTTTCCCCTTCCGCTGGTGAATGCTGGCGGGGAAGAGGCGGCAGGAGGAGAAAATACACATGTGATCGATTACTCATGTCTGCTGTGGGCAGGAAAACCAGCGGTGGTGACCTGTGTCCCAGGGACTTCCCACACTTCGTAGGGAGCAGTGGTTCTCAAAAGCGTTGGTCTCAGGACTCCTTTACGATCTTAACAATTAGAAGAACCCAGGGACCTTTTTTGATGTGTCGTATCTGTTATTAGTAACTGTATGAGAAATTAAAACTGAGAAAAATTGTTACAACATTTATGTATGTGTTTAGATTTAAAATATTGATTGATTGATAGGCAGCGGTAATAAATCCATACCTTGTTATAAATATGATATTTAAAAAAATTTTTTTCAACGTTTTTTATTTATTTTTGGGACAGACAGAGACAGAGCATGAACGGGGGAGGGGCAGAGAGAGAGGGAGACACAGAATCGGAAACAGGCTCCAGGCTCCGAGCCATCAGCCCAGAGCCCGACGCGGGGCTCAAACTCACAGACCGCAAGATCGTGACCTGGCTGAAGTCGGACGCTTAACCGACTGCGCCACCCAGGTGCCCCGAATATGATATTTTTATAAAATGTGTATTTTCCAAAAAATATGGAGTAGGAAGAATGGTGTTGTTTTGCATTTTGGGGAAGTTCTTTCTCTATTGCCTGACTTAATTGAAGACAACTGGATTTCTTATATCTGCTTCTGATTTTAATCGGCTATGATGTCACATGTCACGGAGCCTCCAGAAAACTCAGCTGCACGCTGTGAGAGAAGAGCGTGTGAAGGCAAATATGTCTTGGGGTTATTACAAAACCAGTTGAACCTCTGAAGAGATTTTGGGCACCCCCCCCCAAAGGTTCCTGGGCCACACTTTGAGAACCATTGTTCCCGAGACCAATACTTGGCCCCCGTGTTCAGGAAGGTTCAATCTAATGGGGGGGAAACAGGGTTTGCAATGTTTGGGACTCACAGAAACGCCCCAGGACTAGTCAGGTGGGAGGTACCAGAACAGACTACCTCAGGAGGTAGGCTTTCAAGAAGAGATCATCCTCCTTCAGAATTGGCCCAGCATCACATTTCCTAGAACTTTCTAGACTTTGAGCAGCACACCCTGCCCATCCTGGTCCCACAATGAAGGGGCCATTCTAGGTGCCCAGCAGAACACAGGGCGTCAGGGAGAGCTTCGACCCTGGAGCCCCAGCGACCGTGGGCCCTGGTTCCTCTGGGCCTCCAGCCATCTGCCGCCTCAAACCCCCAGCTCACCGACCCCTCTGACCTGAAAGGCCTTTCCGGGAAGTGAAGCGCCCGAGTACCTTCATCAGACATCAGCTCCCAGGAACGCGGGCTCCCCTCTGGCTGTGTGTCTACAGCTGAGGATTGGCTCCAGCCGCGGGCCCAGAAGCTTCCTCATCGGGCCACATCTTTGCCTCCCTTAGTCCATCCTGACTGAGGCTCTGACATGCCCTTGGCTGCCTCTGGGAGCCCCTAGGAGGGTAGAGCCTCATGTCCTCACCAGGATGGGGCTGCCATCCCCCCCCCCCCTTGGGGAGCTTCTTAGAAGCCTTTCTGAACATTCTAGGAAAAAGCTGGTTTGTCTAGAACATCTCAGTGCTTTCCACAGTAAGCCCACAGCCTACATTTCCTGTTCTATCTTCCACTAGTTTTCCACCTCCCACCCCCAACCCCTGCACTGCACCCCCTTGTCACTTTCCCCAAGAGAAACCTTTACAAGCTCAACTCCAGAACAACCACGCCCCCAGGGAGACTTCCAAATTGCTCTGGCTGGAAGTGAGCCTTTCCCATCCCGCACCTGGGGTGGTCCAGGGCCCTTCAACTTGATTCAGCAAATGGACTGGGGCCCTCTCTATGCCAAGCCCCACACTGCAGGCCAGGATCAGAGATGAGGTATCTTCAGGCATGGGTTTGCTAAGGAAACAGCGAGGACCCCCACCCCAGGGCCCGCTGGGGAAGCACAGGGGCTTGGGAAGCCCAAGGAGAGGCCTGGGGGTGAATCTGGGAAGTTTCCCTGGAGGAGGTGGTAACTGCCTAACTCCTCAATCCCACACAGCAAATATTTGTTGAATGAGTGGCTCGTGGAGGGAATTGATCTCCCAGATACCTATTGGCTCCAAAATGCTAAGAATGTGGTTTTGAAAGTTTGTTTCTACCAGCCACCTTTACCTTTACCTCGGAAACATTGTTTATCCACTTACTTGAAAGCCCTTCCTTGTGGCTTGGAGAGAGGGCTGGGGCAGCTTATGGGAACCATTGCTCTACTATGACCTGGTGGCTGGTGCCCCCACTGACCCTCTTCTTTTCTCCCTCCCCACTCCCCCAGCATACTACCACAGGCTGCACTGGAGGAGATCCACAAATTCTCAGGAACCTATACCTGCATGAACACTTTCAAAGGGAGGACATAGAGGCAGGATGCAGAGACATGCTTGAAAGCCACGGAACCTGAGGGGGCCATGGCACACCCCCATGCGCCTGTCCCTTGGCACACTTCTGCTGGGTGAGTGGGACTGTTCCTGTCCCCAGGAAGAATCCGGGTGAACCCCCAGGCCAGCCCCAGGACCTTTGCACAGGACTGATGGGCGTAACTCTGACCCCCATGGGGAGGCAAGAAACCAGCCAGCAGCCACCTTGACACTTTCATACATGTCTAATTCTGTAGAGTTTATTGTTAAATTGCTTCTCGAGTCTAACCAGCCTTAGCAGTGTGTTTAGACTGTTTCCAGGAGGGTCTATACCCAGATGCTCTTTTCTTTGCAAAATCCACCCATCCTCAGCTTGTGCAAACTGGTTGTATGGCAGGAATGATAAATAAAGACATCGTTTTTGCGAGTTCTTTTGCTGAAATCCCTGAACCCCTGGTCCTTGCCATTTGGGAAGGGACTGATCCCCACCACAAAACCCCATCTTTAAGAGACAGTTGTTCTGCTTGGGGTCCCCAGCTGCTAGGAGTGGAGCGGGTGAGAAGAGGGCAGAGGTGGCGAAAGGTATTGGAGCCCGAGCCTGGGGTACACGGTTCCTTGGGGCTTCTGCCAGGCCCCTCCCAACAGCCATGAGTTGGGGGACACGTTGCACCCCCATCCAGTTCCCTGATACGACCTTGACGAACTGGTCTGCGGAGAGCTGCCCTCTGCTCTGCCACAGCCCCACCAGCACAAAGCAACCAACTCAGGAGAGAACCAGTCCTTAGTGAGTACCCACTGTCTACTGAGCATGACTGGGTACTGAGAGGGCAATGTTGCTGAGAGGCCGACATTCTGAAGACCACCATCATTAAGACCAGTATTAGGAGGGTGCTACAGGCCCCTGACCCAGATTGGACCTCAGGGGATAGACGTGAAATAGCAAAGGGGCACCCGGATGGCTCAGTCGGTTAAGCGTCCGACTTCGCCTCAGGTCATGATCTCACAGTTTGTGGGTTTGAGCCCTGCATCGGGCTCTGGACTGATGGCTCGGAGCCTGGAGCCCGCTTCGGATTCTGTGTCTCCCTCTCTCTCTGCCCCTCCCCTGGTCACGCTCTGTCTCTCTCTCCTTGAAAAATAAATAAGCATTAAAAGAAGAAGTGGAATGGCAAAGAACGAGGAGGTTTGGAATGGCACAACAGACCCGGGCTCAGTCAACGGGGAAAATCACAGCCAAGGAGATGTGGGGAGAGACGCCCCCTGGTTCGCCTGGTGTATGCTCTTCCCTGCTGCAGCAAGCTTAGTAAACCTGACCTTGGCAGGGGCACAGGTGAACAATGGCCTCCGTGCACACGGCTCTTGCTGGGGGGTGGCCAGGAGCAGGGAGGGGAACAGGCAGTGGTTCCCCAGAGGTGAAGACGGTCACAGGCCACCAATCCAATGGAAGAGCCTCCCACGTACTGTGTAAGGCCAGCGTTTCCACACAACTCACGTTAGCAGATTAATCTCGGAGCTCAGGCTGTTGTCAGATCTGTGTGCAGAAACGCCAAGTCATGGTCACATCCGCTGCTCGTGTAGTACCTGCCAAGTGGCCGCCAAGTCAAGGGCATCACATTCTAACGGTGAATCATCCATTGCACCAGGCAGCAGCTCTCGGGAAGCCCTTCCAGCAGCCACAATGTGTATCAGCCAAGATATGACCCCAGGTGTCATCCCTTCAACAACGGAGGCTTGTCTTAGGATTGCCACTTGTCCTTCAAGGGTGGCTACAGCTCTGCTCTGTGTCCTCTTTGCGCTGGGAGCCTGGCCAAGAGAGGAGCCAACATCTGGGATGATGTCTTATGGCAAAAGTAGTAGACACGCCTGGCCACCCGGCATCGGCTCTGAAAGTTTCTGCCTGGAAACAGGGGATGTCACTTCCGCTCACAGCTCATTGGCCAGAACAGGTCACGTGGTCCAGACGGCCGTGGGTGTGGCTGGCCATACAATCCCCCTGGAAGAGTGGTCCATAATTTTGAACTATTATGCCATGTGCCACGCCGTGGAAGTCGTCCGTAGAACATAAGGAAAAAGTGAAATGTAGGCAGGGGATGGAGGGAAGCCGATAGATGCCGCCCAGGGATGTGGTGGCCTCTCAGTGCTTCACACCGGGCCCTGAGCGGAGCCCCAAAGAAGCATTGGCCTTTTGGTGGGGGTGGTTTTGGAAAGATCGTTTTGTAGGCGAGAAAACAGGCTCGGAGCAGGGAGATCGCGTGCCCGGGTTCGTAGGGCTGGTAAAGACCAGAGGCAGAATTTGAACCTGGCTCTGAGCTACAAGACCTGTCACACCGGCAAGAGACTCATCACCTTCATTTTGGTGCTTGAGGACATGTGTCACAAAGTCAGGGGGAGGGGTGGGGAGAAAGCTGCTAACGGTGTCCCCCTGGTACCCTTGCCAGCCCAGTGAGGTCAGTCTCGGAATGTCCATGGGCTTGGCCTGCCCCCTCTGCTGTCCCAGAACCACAGCCAGATGTCTGTCACTGGCTCTCACAGGAGAAAGGTTCCAGGTGGGGGGCACATCTTCGTGGGCAGGGATGGATGAGGAGGAAGAAGTGGGGATCCTGTCTACTGAGCTAGTGAGTGTCCAGTTCAATTGCCCCTTTTGTGATCATCCTTGAGTGGCAAGATTTCTGAGGTTACAGCTGGCTCCAGGCCAACCTTTTGGAGGGAATCGGACTCCTGAAGTTTCCACGAAATTGCATGTGACCTGCAGGCCAGGAACACAGTGAGGATCCCACGGGTCTGAGTGGACTCTGGGAGTGACAGGGCCAGCCAGCACCGCCCCCTGCCCCCCATCCCGCCCGACAAGGGCTTCGTGAGAATGGAATTGGCTTGGCTGCAGTGGGACCTCACATCTTCCCAGAGCCCCCGGGGCTTCTCCTGACAGCCAGGCAGGGCCTGGTCCCACCCCGACCCCTCCCTCTCTGCTGGGACACTTTTCAGTCTTTCTCTGGATCTCTTCCCAGAGGAACCAGGGAAAAAGCCTTGGGCAGATTCCCAGGAGGCCCTATCCTGGTCCCTCCCCCAGAATGGTCTGGGTGCTTGGAAAGCCTTGAGCGTGAGGGAGGAGATCTAATTCTGTCCCTGAGCTTAGCCAAGCCAATGAGAGTGACAAACACTGAACTCTGACTTCCTGACCCCCGAGGGGCAGGACAGGGCATGCCAACCCTGCAGGGGAGGCTCAGGCCCTGGGAAATGACCTAGTTGTCATGCCGGGGGCCCCTCCCTATCTCCAAAGAGAATCAGAGGGGAGGTGGGCACCAGGCCCAGGGAGGCGCCAGACCCGAGCCCATCCTGGCAGGGTTCCAGGGACCTGGTTATCTGGCCTGGCGAGTGGCCAAGAGTTGAATCCTGTGGCCACAGCCCCGCTCCTAAGGCCACAACGATTTGAGAAGTGGAGTCTCTTCTTCTCGGGCCAAACCAATGGCCGGAAGGGACCGGGATGACAGAAAGCTCCTGGGCTGACCACGGGCTCAGCCCTACCCCAGATTGTCCCCCTTCTGAGCCCTTCTCATCATGCCCCTGGAGATGTCCCAGTGTGATGGGGGACAAAAAAGGGAACCAGGTTACAAATAAATGAATCCTGCTGCCTGAGTGCCGTGCAGCACAGAGGGAACAAAATGCTTACAGGTGGGAGGACGGGGGCCCAGGGTCAGGGAGGGGCCGCTGTGGGGTGCTGTCCCTCCACCATCGTGCATCTGGAACTTCTCCCACTGAGGAGGCTTCTCTGATTTTCAGAAAGGGGACCATTAATAAGAGCCCAGAGGTCTATGTTTGTGAAGAGAACATCAATATGCAGTCACTCCTGACTTCGAGCAAAGCAGGGGGTGACGACGGTGTCCGTCGGCACAGAAAGAAGGCTGGGAACCGCCTGTGGGCACCCCAGTCACTCTGTGTTCCCCTCCAGTAGGGCCCTCATACTAGGATTCAGTTTACCAACATTCGTTAACACACTTTTCCTCCTAAACTGTGTGCTGTGGAACAGAGCCTGGGCCTGGGGGCCACTGCCCCTCTCACCTCCCATGCCTCCCCCCCACCCTGCCCCGAGGTCCTCAGCTTCCAGGAAACCGGCAGATCCCTGAGTACCCAGCTTCTCCCAGCCCACCATGGCCCGAGGCTCCCCAAGCATCAGGAGGCCCCAGTATTTTCAGGGAAGGATCCAGACTGGAGTTCCACTGGCTCTTCTCCTTCCTGCATGTGAGGTCACCTTTCCTGTCCTGCGGAAGGGACAAGATGTTCCTGCCTCCTGGGCAGGGATGAGTGTCCAGTGCAGAGGTTCTGGGAACTTTGGGAGGGGGATAATGTGATGCTGCTGGCTCCCACAGCTCCTAGCCAAGACCGAACTGCCCCTCGGGACACCACACCGTCTTGGTGTGGCCCAGCCTGACCTGTGACAGCAGCCTGCCCTGAGGCCCGGTTATAGCTCCTCCGAGGCTGGGGCGGAACGAAGCTGGAGCTCAGGAGACCCCAACGTGGGCGGTAGGTGCAGGGGCCGGGGGGCCCGTGGGGAGGGCAGAGCAAAGGGGTCAGACAGAGAAATGCTACATCGGAGGGGGTTCTGCCATCTTCCAGGACACAGCGGGCAGGGCCGGGGAGTCTGGCAACCCCCCGCCTCCCCCCCTGCCCCCCCACCCCCCACCCACCCCCCACCACCCACCATGCTTGGCTCTGGGCAGGCCCTTTGTACCCAAGTCTCTCCGGGGCTCAGGAAGAAAATAACCACAGAAGTCCCCTGGGAAGGCATTGCCAGGTGTGACTCGATGGGCCCTGCCCTCCTAGGGAGCCGCTCTCAGCACGTGGATCCCCTTGGGTGGACGGCAGGCCTCGGAGGCAGGGCCCCCATCCCACACTAGCTGGCTGGGGAAGCCCGTGCGGGGCGGCCTGGCGACCAGTGCGCAGCTGTGTGACCCCGGGGTCACTGACTTCCCTGGATGGAAGCAGCTGCGAGGGAGTATTTCTGCAGGGCCCCGAAGCCTAGACGCCGGGTCGCTAAAGGTTACCTGGTCCCGCCCACGTAGCCAGGCCCACAGCCCCTTCTCCAGCACGCGCGAACCTGCCCTCCCGGGAGGCGCCCTCCCTGGCCACGGTGGCCTGGGCTGCCCCCCATATCAGCCTCGCCCTGACTTCGTTCATTGCCTGTCTCACCAGATCGGAGGTGGGCAGGGGCCGTCGTTAATGTTTCCACGTGTAACGGCTGTATGGAGATTCACCTGCTCGAAGTATACAATTCAGTGGCCCGTGATACATGCATGGGGTTATGCAGCCCCCACCGCAAACATCTTTGGGAACGTGTGTGCAGGATGTGGCCTTTCCGTCTGGCTTCTTTCACTCAGCAAACGCGTTCGGGGCTCACCCTGCAGTCGCGCGGGGCGTCGGTGCCTTTTCACGGCT